GTTTATTTTTTATTTTTGTGAGGCGGGGGGAGGGGCAGAGAGAGAGGGAGACACAGAATCAGAAGCAGGTTCTAGGCTCTGAGCTGTGAGCACAGAGCCCAATGCAGGGCTTGAACTCACAGACTGTGAGATCATGACTTGAGCCAAAGTTGGATGCTTAACTGACTGAGCCATCCAGGCACCTCAGAACTGGCCCTTTATAATGGGAAGGCAGGACTTAGATAGTATTCTAATTTAGGGATGTTGGAACCTAGACCAGGATTTCAATGGGGAAAGAGAATGAAGCGTAGATCTTTCCTCTAACAATACTGTCCAATGTCAGACTCTGGAATCATGAAGTTAGGTTTTTTTCTGAATTCCCCTGAGATCTCAAGATAGAGAGACCATGTCCTGCAGAACTCATAGGTCTCATGAGGTCTCAGCTTGAACATGCCTCCCTGAGCATCCTGTATGTATGGCTCTGAAGGACACGAGGAGCAGTCATGATACAGGGGTGAATTCATGAACAAGGTTCCTAGATAGGTATCTATCCTGGGAGGTGGTTTCCTGAGCCTCCAGCAGCTGGCTGGAGTGGCCTAGGCAGTGGCCTAGGCAGAGTCCAGAAACTTCTCAGAACACTGGCTGATGGCTCAGGTCCTTAGCTTTGTCAAGCCACATGGCTAGAAATCCTCTCGAATCACAAGAGAAACAGACAAATCTTGAATCATAAGACAGACAAATCTCAAGTCTCTGGAAACTAATGACCTTGTTTCTAGATCTTTCCAATTTGAGAACCAACCAATTTGTTCCTGTTTCAGGCAACCAAAACCGTATATTATGGATATGCAAGGAAGATTCAGTCGTGGTTCTATTGCCTGGCATATGGGTGATTATGAGAACACCGATCAAAGAAATTCCAAAGCGGCTGTCCTGGTCAGGCAGAGCACGGCAGAATTGCCAAGAGCTTCCAAACAACTGAAGCTGCCAAAGCGACCAAGAAAGGAGGTACGATCATTTGCTTTCCTGAATCATCATAGAAAACATCAAATTATTTCAACATGAATTAGAGAATGCTATTTAATAGTAATACTGATAAACAATCAGTTTTGTGGTTCCTTTTAACCCGTGAGAACATTTTGAAATTTATATGGGATTTCCACAGTAATGCCCATACTGTGGGTAGCTGGGTGTTATTCCCATTTTATAGCTAAATAAAACAAGATATTGTAGATTTCAATCCTTACAAGTGCTTATTTAACATACAGGTGAACCTGGAGAAAATAGCCTTCTCCTTGGTTTGCAAAAGCTGAGAAAGCTCTCAGCGTATGAAATGGAGGTAAATCTGTAAGTCCTGTCAAGACTGTTGCAGACTGTTTTGTGACACTTCCTAAAACAGTATATCAGTTCAAATTCAAGTTTTTCCCATTACTATCTAGGAAACCTTGAGCAGGTTGCATAGTTTCTCTATATGGGTTTTTTTGTAAGTGAAGTGGGGAATTAGTATTTGTACAGAATATTTGATAAGACTGCTCGTAAGAATCAAGTAAAGAATGTGTAAGTATATACAAATGAATAATTATTTCCTAGGGTCCTTTTGCGTAATTCCACAGCACAATGCATTTTATAGTAATCCAGTATTTCCATATTGAGTCTCATTTCCATATTGAGTCTCATTTCCACGAAAGAAAGGAAATGGGATAGCTCTCATTAATCCAAAGATTCCTATTTCCTACATGAAGACAGTCTCCTTGCTCCATCAAAGAATCTTGCCAACTCCCTAAGACGACTGCTTGCCCTCCGTCACCAGAGATCTGATTCATTAGCAATTAATTACATCTATTTGAAACATTCTGTGAAGGAGCCATGGAAGTCCTCCTTGGTAGATCCTGACCCCAGGGGAACTTTGTATTAAAAAAGGGAGCAGTTCAGCTGCTAACATTCCTCTGTGGTCTGATTTTTGGGCTGGTTCCAAATGAAATGATTTATTGTAGTGTGTGTGGATGAAGGTTGGGTTAGTTACCTTCCGTCACTGAACTAATTTTGTGTAGGATTAGAGCAATCATGGATTAAACAATCCCAAATGTCTCCTTCTATCATTCACTAAATCCAATGGAGAGTTGCGCATTAAAACAAACAAACAAAAAAAAAATGTGTTAAGACTTTTTATTTTGAAATGATTTCAAATTTACAGAAGAGTTGCAAGAATAGTACAAAGTGAACTCTGATATTCTTTATCGAGAACAGTCACTTGTTTATTTGCTTTAATGCTTTCTAAATGTGTGTGTGTGTACATTTGTTTTTCCAAATCATGTGAGGTTAAGTTGCAGACATGATTCTTCCTTACCCCTAAACATTTCAGGGTATATTCCTAAGAACAAAGGTGGTCTCTCATATAACCACAGTACAATTCTAAGATTTAGGGAGTTTAACATTGATACAATGTAATTATCTATAGTTCATAATCAAATTTTATTAATTGAGCCAATAATGTCTTTTGTAGTTTCTCCTCATCCAGGATCCAATCTAGAATTACATATTGCATTTAGTCCCCATGTCTCCTTCAATTTAGAACAGTTCCTCAGTCTTGGTCTTTTATAGCACTGACATTTTTGAAGAGTCTAGACCAGTTCTGTAGAATATCTCTTAACTTAGGTTTATCTGACGGTTTCTCATGAATAGATTCTGGTTATGTGTTTTGGGCAGGAACCTCAGCTAAGTGACATCATGTCATTCTCAGTGCTTCACATCAAAGAGGCACCTGACGAGAGTTTAACTCACTGTTAGTAAGGTTAATTAATCACTTGGACACATCTTTTCCCTTCCAGAGATAAACAAAATACTATATCACCCCAAATAATCTTTCTTTTTATAAACTAGTCTTTCTTCTAAATTTCTAGATATACACTAGAAACTTGTTCCCTATGTCCAGTTTTTGGACCATCTCACAGGATTCTTGTGGATGATACTTCAACAAGTACTCAAGCCTGCCCCCCCCCCCATGTAAATCCTCTTCAGTGAAAATGACTTGAAGCAACTGTTCTTATATATTCAAAAGCCAATAATGAATATAACATGTGTCAAGCCTCTAACATAATGTTTTACACCAGCCACCAATGAGTGGTTACCACTGCTACACTTACCTGGGATGCCAGCACATTTTCCATTTTATGCTGCAAGAATCAAAACCATGTACTGAAAACAGCCTCAATGAAATAAATGTCAATGGTACTGGGGGGCTTTGAGGGAAATCCCTTTTCTCATGAAGATAGATGGTTGAAAATGGGATATTTTATATTCACATTCTTGAGTTTGGATCTTTATAAATCTACATTTGGAGCTTAATTACAATGTTTCTAAAAGTACAATTTATGATATTTAACATTATGTATCATTCTTTATACATTTATCCAAAACAAAATGCTCTTTAAAAATGCTCTTACATATGGGGCAAATTTCTACACTGTTTCTTCTACTGTATTTCCCCCCGTTTTTGTTTTTTTTTTTTTTAATTTAAAGTTCAATCTTCTAGTTTATGTTATTTTCCCTTCTTGATTTTTGGTTAACTTTTTTTTTCACATAAGTAATAGCCACTTAAGTGTTGTCAATTTTACGTGTATATTACATGCACTTTTAGCACCATCCATTTCTATTTCATTTCTTTGCTTGCAAATGTTCTCATTACCCCCTTTCATTCCAATACATGGACATAATCTCAGTGATTGGTAAATTCTGTCCCTCATCTGTTCACTCACGTTGAATCCAAAGTCAGTAATTCTCAAATTTTAATGTGCGTATCAATCACTTAGGGACCGAATAAAGACACAGATTCTGATTCAGCCGGGCTGGGACAGGGCTTGGGGTCTGCATTTCTATGAACTTCTAGGCAATGCAGCTGTTGCTAGTCTGGGACCTTGAGCAGCAAGGTTTGAATTGCAGTTTGAGCTAGGAACTGGAGGGGCTTGGACCACAGGGGAAAGGGAGACAAGAAAGGACAGGCAGGGCAAAGACAATGTTCGTGTAGTGCCTTTGGGGAAGTGCGTGTGGTTCAAGATGGCTGGATAATAAATAGCACGCAGAGGGTATCTCGTGAAGTGGCTGGGGAAGAGGAACCAGCTGCGTAGTTTGAGTGCATGGTGCTAACAAGCTCGGATTTTGCTGGGCTTTCAAACAGAAGTAACAGTATTAAACTTTCGTTTCTGGAGGGATTTAGACATCAGCCTGGAAGACTGATTACAACTGTTTGATATGGCAGAAAGAGGAGTTCCGAGGCATTTTGGGAACTCAGTTGAGAAATGAAGAGGGACTGAAAGAAGGCAAAGAGAAAGGAGAAGAGGTGATGCGTCTGAGACACAAAGAAAGTAGCAGATTCAACAGGTCTCCCCATGGGAAGAGAAGGAGGCCAAAGAACACCGCAGAATTCATGAGGGGTGGGGGCAGGGTAGGGGGCAACACGCAGAGAATGAGTAGTTTGCAAAGAAGCCAGTGCCCTATAAAACAGTTGCCAACGGAAAAAGAAATTTGGGATAAAGAGGGGGCAGGAAGACACAGAACAAAAATTTAACAAGGGAGAAACCATTTTTGTTTACACTTTGACTATAGTCTGTAGATTGAGAACGTGCAGGTGAGAAAGGGGGACAGATGATAAATGCTGACTGAAGGTACTAAGAAAGCTGAGCAAGATGCATGGCTCTAGGAATTAACACAGCACTGCAGGGGTTAATCCTTACAGGGAGGGGGCGTTTTTTGCTCCCACTGTGAAGGAAGTGCTACCTCCTTCCTTGCCATCTCAGAGGGCTTTTTCTTTTCTTTTTTTGTTTATTTATTTATTTTGAGAGAGACAGAGACAGCGCAAGTGGGGGAGGGGCACAGAGAGAGAATCCCAAGCAGGCTCCACACTGTCAGCACAGAGCCGGATGCAGGGCTCGAACCCACAGAGAAGCCGTGAGATCACCACCTGAGCCAAAACCAAGAGTCAGACACTTATTAATTGCCTGAGCCACGCAGGTGCCCCTCAGAGGCTTATTTCTAACACACTTTCCCTATCCTCCCACATCTCCCTTGCCCCATATACCCAAAGACTATATAGGACTTGTATCTCAGCTTTTACAGGATAACTGCTGCCTGTACTGTTTACTGTGCTAAAGATCTTTGCTTCAAAGCCTGCTTATTTTTTATTTATTTATTTTTTTCAACGTTTATTTATTTCTGGGACAGAGAGAGACAGAGCATGAACGGGGGAGGGGCAGAGAGAGAGGGAGACACAGAATCGGAAACAGGCTCCAGGCTCCGAGCCATCAGCCCAGAGCCTGACGCGGGGCTCGAACTCACGGACCGCGAGATTGTGACCTGGCTGAAGTCGGACGCCCAACCGACTGCGCCACCCAGGCGCCACTAAAGCCTGCTTCTTATAATCTGGCATGACAATATTCTGACCACCCAACTGCTTTTGGGGGGGGGTCATAATATATATCATCCTACTTATATCTGAAGTACCTGTATCAGCCAAGGTTCTTCTGAGACATAGAACCACAAAGATGGACAGATAGACAGACTGATTGAGTTTAAGGAATTAGGAATTGGCTCACAGGATTGTGGAGGCTGGCAGATCCAAAATGGGCAGGGTAGGCCAGTCTCCAGTCTCCTAGGCTGGAGACTAGGCAAGAGTGACATTGCAGCTCAGGTCCAAAGGCAGTCTGGAGGCAGAATTTCCTCTTCATTGGGGACTTCAATCTCTTAAATCCTTCAACTGACTGGATGACGCCCACCCACGTGATGGTGGGTAATCTGCTTTACTGAATCTATTCATTTAAAAGTTAATCTCTTCAGAGCGCTAGCCTCAGCCCCTCCCCCCACTCCACCCCCAGCTCTGGCCCAAGGCAGGAGAACTGGGGCTGGGGCGTGGGATGCAGTCTGTGGCAGGGGAGCTTTGGGATGAGAGCAGTCTGCATGCTCGAAGCCCCCTTCTGTGAGAGGAGCTTCAGTACTGGCCACCAGGCAGGGCCCGGCTGGGGCGGGGAGCGAACTACAGCAGGAGCAGGAACCTCTGTGACTGTGCTTGGGTCTCTGTCCGACCCCCCTCGCCTCCTGTCTCGCCTGAGACCCTCCCCCTTTCCCTGGCTTTACCTGGCGGGCGTACATTTCTTTGCTCATTGGTTCTCCCCAAAGCCTGTAGTTAGCTGTGAGGACTGAGACTAGCACAACGTGCCCCAACCTAATGGGCTCTTCAGGTCTGTCCCCTCTGTGGGGAAAGAACCCTGCTCGCACAGCAGCCCAGCCAGGTGTGCTGCCCTGTAGTCGTTAGTATCCATCTGGATCCTCAGGATCCTAGAGCAGGTTGAACCTATTATCACCCTCATTTCACAGCTGTGATCATCGAGGCCAGAGAGGTTGAGAAACTTGTCCAGTGTCACATAGCTGGTAGGCAGCCGAGTCAGGATCTGAACCCAGACAGCCAACCTTCACCCTGTCCAAAGACACCACCTGCATCTGGAGCACGGGCCATGCTAACTGAAGGAGTCTACAAGAAGGAAGCTGTAAGAAGACAACGTGGACCTTGGAAGGGAGAAGGGTTGCTGATCAGACACACGGGTCTGCAGGTGCGAAGCCTGTAACCTACGGTTTTGCTAGAGGCAGACGACGTCTGCGGCCTCGTCCCTGCCCCACCCTGCCTCAGCTCTGGGCTCGGTGACTCACTTGTTAGCAGGACTCTGTTACTTTCCTGATTGGTAGCTCCAACGCCCTCTGTGGAAATGCCCTGCGGGAAGTCAGCCCTCAAGTAGCAAACACGTAGGGAGAAACAGCAATTTTGTCAGTCACCTCCCTGAACCTTCATCTCCTTGCTGAAAACCAGGTCCTACCTAATACAACCCAAAGTGGGACATGTTTTAAGCAACCTCCCCCTCCCACCCCCTCTGGAGGCATTCCCCTCTGCCTCCCAACCTGGTTTCCAGATTCTCAGGTAGCTGGCACGGCCTGATCCCTGATCCATAGGTTATTATAGGTGCTCAGTCTATAATGCAGAACCGCCCCCCCAACCTGCCCCTTTGGCCACCAGGAAGATCTCACTTGGACTGCTTTTTCCACTTTGACCAGCACCTAGCACGGAAATATTTGTTGAATGGATGAGTGAATTGATAAGGATTAAAGAATATATCAACCAAGCTTAGAAAATAAATCTCAATCTCATCTAAAAAGATACCTTCACAGAAACTTCCACACTGGTGTTTGACCCTAATATCTGGATATCATGGCCTAACCCAAGCTGACACATAAAATTAACTGTCACAGTACCCATCTCATCCAGGTGTGGGGATTTTCTATAACGCACCTGACAGAACAGTCTAGGCACCAGGGAACTGAGAAGCAAGGCGGCATGTATGTATGTATGTGCTTAAGTTCTTTACCAATGGCATGATTTTAAAGTTGCTTGAGGGAGTAGGGAAACACTTTCGAAATTTTCATTTAATCAATAAGGGAGTTTGAGATACCTAATGTTAGTTCTCCCTATGGTCTTTAAGATGACATGATTCAGTATGGTATTATGTATGTTACAAAAATTATACATAAAAGCATTTTCTTTTTCTGAGACTTTATATATATATATATATATATGAATGACCTCATCTTTTACATAGCAAATATTATATAATGCCCTTTACTTTCCTAAAATAAAATTCATATAGAATATAACCTACTTCCACACATAATTTATAACACACCAATATAATGCCCTAGATGTACTATTTAAAAAGTAACCTATTAAAATATATTTTAATACACAGACATTGAAACACTAGATCAGAACAGGAAATGTAACGGAGCAGGCAGATCTTACATCTATATGCCGTCTGCAGGAATGCTACAATTACAAAGGAAGACGGATACAGATGTACAAATGACTCAAATTCATGAATACAGTAGCGGTCGGTAAGGTTGTTTTCCAAATTTATGTTAATTCTTGTAAAAATTCTGAATCTTACAAAGTAAAGTCTTCCCTCGATTTATACAACAGTGGCATTCCTGGAAAATTCAGCATATATTAAAATCATGTGAGAAACACATTGTGCTTTTACGTAAAGCAGAATTAAATTTTCAGTCTAGATAATTATAAACAGGTTTTTCACCCACAGGACTGTCCGGCAGAACATTTATAAAAGTCATGCAGGAGGTGGGACAAGCTCTCCTTCCGTGGGGTGTCCCGTACATTACACGACCTTTCTCTTACCATCCTCGGCCCCCATCCACTATGTGCCAGTAACTGTCACCCACCATTATGCTAACCAAAAATGTCCCTACATTTCCCAAACACCCCTGCTGAAAATCACTGACATATATTACCAACTTGTTTCAGCATGAACTAATGGAAATGAGACCTCTAGGTTTTTAAGTTCCAAGATTAAATGTAACAAACCACATGCAGTACCAGGAAAATGTTCAAGATAAATTCAAAAGGTTTATTGCACCAAATGCCACAGAAAAATGGATCAAAATAATACATGAACAAGTTTTAAGAAAAAATTTCTATACATTGACACTGATATCTATTTACCTGATCAAAAATATAAAGACCTATCAATTTGTCTTACCGGAGCTTCAATAATAACAAATCCCAGAATTTTCTCCTTTTTTAAACACCACTTAAATGTAAGCATATTGCAACCTTGCTCCCAAGATATATAGTCATCAAACTTCTGACATTTAAAAATTAACACTCAGATGGGGGCTGCTTGATTTAGGTAAATATTATATTAAAATATCCCCTCCCCCACAGCACAATAAAAAAACAAATGGTTCACATTTACCAAGAGAAGCTAAAGACTTTTTCAATTTAATGGTGAAAGTATGCATGAACAAAATACTTTCAAAAGTACATATTAGTGGGAAAATCCAGACATTTAAAAGAATTTTAGGGCCGCTTTATATTCTTTATTTTTATGTACAACCAACTCTAGTGAAGAACCTAAAAAGCTACAGACTAAATTTTTATAAAATCTCAGGACCTAATTATAAGAGCCTAAACGACAGTTTAGTGTCACTTAGCAAGCAGGGACTTTCCTCCCTCCAAAAAAGTTACTTTTGAAAAATATGGTTAAGTTTAAAAAGTTGCGATGTGTAAACGGCAGTTCCATGGGATGTGAAAAGATTATAGTTACTTTTATTAAAAAACAGCACACTTCAGAAAAATGGATTGAAGCCTGTACAAAAAGCTATTTAACACTGATAAAAATAAAATACTTTGGAATTATGCACAAGTATGGAAGCTACATTTTAAATTTTCATTGTCATGTTTAAACGTACACAATTATCTTTACATTCATATCACTCGTCGATCTATTAAAAATAAAACTGCAACATGCTAGAAAGAGGTCCATCACAGTAACATTTACACACTTCTGCTCTGTCATGCCTCACTAGCTTGCTTAAAAAAGCAAGATGCTACAAAAGTTACACTCAACAGGTAAGACTTAAAAGTTGAAGAAACCCTAAAGGTGGAATCCTGTCAACTGAGGTAGTTTTCTTTTCTTTTTTTTTTCTTTTTTTTGTTTTTTAATTTTAATTTTTTCTTGAAGTGGGCATTGGGAGAGGGTGGGATCCCTTTCTTGCCTCTTGGGCTAAGACAGAATGAAGCCACTGGGTGGTGTGAGTGGGTGTATCTCAACACAATTCCATGAGAGTTTTTTTCTTTTCCACTTTTGGGAAGAGGCTGAATTTAAGACAAAGAAAACTTGAATGTTATTTAGAGGAGGATTATAAAAGAGCAGCAACATTCTTGGTCTGTTTTTGTAGGCAATAGATGTGAGGATTAGGTTCTGACTGGAATCCTGAGTGTCACTGAGACAACCCCCACATGTGACCCACCTGTAGTTTCCAACAGACATTTTCCAAGAGAGAGTTTTAGAACAGTAGATTCAGAGGCAAATTAAATTTTCTCAGGCTTTGAGACAACTGGGCTAAATTTTTATGTATGGAGTTTAGAATCAGCCATTTAAAGCCCAATTTCCCCCTATGTGGGTCTAATTTTCAACATGCCACTACGTACACATTTTGAATGAAACTGGTTCTGTATCTAGTTATTTTCTACGAAACCGTGGAAGGTGGAGGATGAGGGAAAGTGCTCAAAACGTGTAAACAAGGAAAAGGGAAACAGAGATGAGGGGAATGCTCTAAACTGGTACAGATGGAAATGATACAATGTCAGCTATTATAATTTATTCACAAATAACGAGAAACAAATGATGAGTGAGCTGAGCCACAGGTGAGGTTCATTCTCTGGGTAACATAACAACAAGCAGTGACATCATGGATAGAGACTTTAGAACACCAAACTCAGATGTTAGACGAAAGGGATGAGAAAAACATAAAAAGGCTGGAAAACTTCAATCTTACGAAAGAAAGATATAAAATAAAAATTAAAGATCTTATTAAGAGCCTTAATGCACCCACCTACATTTCACATCATAAAAAAGAGAGAGAGAAGAAAAGGTAGCAGTTCTGACCTATTCCTAAAGAATTATTACACCCATTTTTCTCCATTGGTACTTGCATAATGAACTTGCATTTGTAAAAGAAGAAACAAATTTATGTCACTTGGTGTTCAGAATCAGGACTGTATCAAATAAAAAATCTGAAGTCATTCTAAGCCCTAGAAGGAAAGTTACTTCATAATCTTGGGTACAAATGGATGCATGAAAAAGACTGGAATTAATTTATAAAATAGTGTTAAGGAAATGAGAGCCTGGTTATAATCAACTGTATTCAAGATCTGCAAGGTGCTGACAATCTTCTGATTGGCTAGATTAGCACCGGTCTTTTAACAATCAATATTTTTAAACTCTCCTCCTTTACCTTGGATGTTGGGACACACTCTGACATGGTCAGAGTTCATGACCAGTACACTAAGTAAAGTTCCTTTTACATTAACAAAAAATTAAGGTTTTTTTTTTTTTAAAGTGAACTATGCTAATAAACAATCCTTCATTTTGACAGATTTTATAATGGGTAAGTTAGTTTCTGGAGAGGTGTTTTGAAAAGGGCTTAGGCATTAGAAGGCACAGAGATGATAATGTAAAAATTTAGATCATTTATGGATTGTTTATAAATGTACAAACTAATTACTTTCATTAGTCATCCTGAACTGTTGCAGGTTTCATTTCCCACCAGGCCAGCTGTGCCTTTTAAAGTAGAAATAGTCATTTGTATTAACTATTTAGGAAGAAAGTGGCTTCGGCTGGAAGAATTTAGCAACAGAAACACTCTTGAGCTCATAGGAATAACTTTGGTAAATGGCCTCTCTTAAAAAGGCCGCTGAAAGCTCTAAAGTATGAGGATAAAATATATGGTATCAGACTGTGCACTCTGCAGCTATGAACTACATCTTGATGAGATTAAGATGCTACATTGATTCCTGGGTTTATTGCACCAACAGTCCATCTCTAACCTACCTGTGGCTGCATCTGCAACAAGGTAAACTCCAAGAAGATGTGAAAACAGTGGGTCCCTAAAGCACTCTCTTCCCAACGGTCGATCCTCTTTCCTGTTTGGCGTCAGGCGGTAACTCCTATGGCCACCAGACGGGAAGACAGCACAATGCGGCTTGCTTTCTTTCACCTTTTGTAAAAAGCAAACCCTGCCCTGGAATCCAGACACCTTGTTCTGACTGTCTTAGGATAGCAAGTTACACTTTCTCCCGTTTGGAGAGCTCACGCCTAAACTCTGAAACATTCTCCTACTGGAATGGTACGTACACTGGTTACCCCTGCTCCAAAGTCGTTTGTCGTTATTCTGCCCGAACACACAGGCGCTCTGGACCGACAGCTTAGTGTTTAGTGTAGTGTTTATGTCTTCTCCTACCAAAAAAGTCATTCTCTCTGTTGATTCATGGGTAACAAAAGGCCAAAAGTATTCGTGAAAAACACAAATGCCATTATGTCAAGTAAACCTAAGTCGTCCAACGAGGCATCCACTTGAAGCAACGGAACGAAACAAAACAAAACAAAAGCAGTGGAATGACGGTTTCTGTTTGCTCTTCTCATGCTTTTGACGTCACAGAGAGCTTTCTCCTTTCGCCTTCGGTTGAGAATCTGATTTTTTTTTTTTTCTTCCAAGGAAGAACTGTCCTGAGCTTTAGCTTATAAGAGTATCTGAGCGACGTAAGGAGAATGAGTACTGGCAATAGCAGTCAACAGAGGCAGGTCGTTTGATTCAATCCTGAATATTGAAAAAAAGAAAAGAATATTAAAGTAGCATGATTTTACAGTAAAGTATTATTGCTAGGTACCAAGTTTGCCAGGTCATTGCTTAAAACTAACGATAAAGTAAGAGATGGAAAGACAATAAACTTGTTCTTTTATTGTGATCTCCCAGTGGATGCCGCCCAAGGAGGCAGAGGAAGATGCTGGTGTGCTATGCCTAAGTGTGGACACAAGGCTGTTCTTCCCAAGGCAGAGGTCACTCAATCTTAAGCCCATAACTTTTCTATATTCCCTGACAATTAATGTTTTCTCCAGTGGCTCATCATTCTTCTAGCCAACACTGCTGAGCGCATACTGAGATTCTGCACCTGGGTTCAAATCAGTCTTAGGATAATGATGAAGGTGGGAGCTTTTTCAAAACACTTGAGGATTTGTTCAACAGGTTACACGATTTAGATCCTCACTAGGCATCTGAGCCACAGCATTCTGACAGCAAAGTGACACTAACAGATACTGAATCAAGAGACATCACAGCATCAAATGGACGTGGCTTCGGCTGCCTCTCTTACAGCAGAAGCGGCTACAGCGTGGTCACTGGCTAAATGCTGCCAAATGTCCTGAAAAAAATTAGGACTGCTTCAGTCCGTGGAATATGTCCTATTTTTTCCCCTTGAATTCCAAAAATGAAAAATTAAAAATAAAATTTAAAAAGGTAGCTGCCATTACTTCATGGAATGTTCTATGCTTTCTCCAGTAACGCTCCCTACAGATCTCCTTTCAGGCTACATAAGAAGTTCCTCAGTACCTTTTGTGCTGCTGGCTCTGACTAGGAGGGGAAGGGGCTAGAGAGGCTGCATGTGACCCCCACTAATCACGCACTAAGAGGACCTAGCGATGAGATTTACTAAGAGGGGTAAATAAATCCTTCTGGTCTTTCTAATAGTGTCCATGGACACCTGCCAGCCAGGGAAAGATCCTAGAAATACAAGTCACACATCTGGCAGTGGGGAGCCTAGTGAGCAGGACCAAAGTGTGAAGCCGGTAAAGAGAGCTAAACAAAAACTAGGAACAATAACAACAACAACAACAAAGAGATATGTTGCAAGTTAACTGCAAAAGCAAACGCCTAAAAAGGGAAAAATATTTTTTGAATAAAGTATGGAAAAAAAAATGTATGACAGGAAATGCCAGAGTCACAGTACTGTAAGTCACATCCTGGGTGTGAAAGATGAAAAAGTCTGACAAGAATGCAAAGACCCGAGCCTTGAAATAATACTTTGATTAGCAGGCTTGATGGAGAATTTCAAGGCTGACATCATATATGCAATTTTTTCTTGCTCAAACTTAGGGGAATCGTCATCATAGTTAAGGGGGTCAATTCCCCATAAACACAGTGTCTTCTTGTTAGTTCTTTGTTGAAAAATTAAGCAGAGACTAACAAAGGTCATAATTTCTTCTCTGAGAGAAGTTCTGGCAAAGACCCTGTGGAGGACAATGTACATTATCAGTAACATCAATATGCCTCCTCCTCCAAAGGGCCTGTAATGGAGGAGGGGCAAGTGCTGTCACCCTGCAAACATGCAGGTGGCCCCTGAAGGTCCAGGATCATGGCCTTTCTTCCCTCCTCCAGGGAGCAAAAGGCAGGTCTGAGAGGCTGCGCCTTTGACATCTTACTGAAATGACCAGAAATGGGCAGGTCGAGTAGGGTTAAATTTTTCACTTTCAAGCATAAGATAATCCAGGGAGAAGACTAACATAAAGTACCACTAGCTTAAAGTTCTGCGCTCGTTTCCAGGTCCGGAACTCCAGTGTCAGAGCTACGAAGATGGGAAGCAGCAGGGGCACACGTCTGATGACGTTTCAGCGGGGTGCCAGGGCCCGCAGGTTGTGGGCGACACAGGCTACGTGGTTGGTGGGAGCAGCGTTAGGGTCAGCCCCATCACAGGGAGAAACGGCGGCACGTCACACAACTCACCCCAGGACGACACCTAATTCTTTCACGTGGACTCGTGTGTGACCACGCAGATACTCAGACAGCATCTTACTTTTCAGGTACATCTCCTGTAGTCTGTCTTCAAGATGCATGATGCACTGGGGAGCCAACAACATTCAGGATGAGGGGCAGCATTCAAACCTCTGCCAATATTCTAAGAGCTGGAATTCTCTTAATTCCTTTCTAAGTACACACCTATAACCTCATTCCTTTCAAATACACATAAATATTACAGACCGCATCAAACCCTACCACTGGTAGGTATAAGGAAAGGTTTATATAAAACAACAGTTTACTTTTTCTAATGACTATTAAGATTTTCATACATATCTGCTAGTCTTTTTCAAAAAGCATTTTTAACATAGATGAAATCATTCCGTTAAGTGCATTTATTTCCAACTTTTAAAAAACTTTATAATAATCCTTTCCCTATGTTATTAACAAATCTTTATCAAAGTAATTTTTATGGCAAAATAATTTCTGAGAATGTAAATTATCATTATTTGCTTATCCACATGGCAATCTGAGTTTTTGTTGCTATAATTTTTTAAAGAACATCTTTGTTGTCGTTTTCCTATATCTCAGATTATTTTGGCGAAATACATCCCCAAAAGTAGAGTGAATGGAACAAGGTTACTTTAAATTTTTTGTTTTTGTTTTTGCTCTCAAGAGTGCATTTTAACTAGGTCTTTAATAACAATAAAGAAAAGGCAATTATTCTCAGGACATCTCTACCCTTGGAATTGTTTCCAACTTCATTTTTTAGAGAATAGCAACCATCTGTGTCTTTCACCAGAGGCAAATGCTTTTGCGTTTGGCAGGCAGAGCCATCCAAGCATCTTCAGTAAGACACCTGACGGCTTTGGCAAGGGTAATTCCATCATACATAATTTTCTTCTAGACCATTACGCCTGTTATTTTCAAGGTAAAAAGATTAACAGATGCATTTGAAAATGTTGATCTTGACCATCTGGGCTGATCAGTGACATAGAAAAAGTATTCGAGATGCAATCTTACAGTTTTTCACTGGCTTAAAATCTTTTAAATGTATTGTGCTGAGGAAAAACAACTGGTAAGTGTCTAATAAGAGTAATAATTAAAGCAAGGAAGGTTTCACCAATCCTCATGGAAATGCTCCTCCAAATAAGCAGAGTTAAGCGGTAAAAGGAGCTCCCGTTAAGTTTCAATTTCTTATAAACACAAAGTTTTTAATGAGTGTTATAAAATATTAAAAAGAACATTCACATTATGTTGAATCCTTTGTTTTAAATGGTTAATTTATGGTGTTTTCATAGTCCCCATGAAAGCTGTATGTTGTAATGTGGAAATAAAGAGAACATTGGTCTATATGGAATGTATACTAAACTCAAAATCAAATCATTTAGAATTTTTTTATAAAAGGTCTGATTATCATATAGAACCCCTTTGGGCTCTGCCCTCCCCTTTTTCTGGGATTTTATTCCTGAGATGGATTTGTTTAATTTTTAACTTCTGAAATTTTAAATAGCTACTTTCATTTTTTTATACTGAAGGCTCTAATATAGCCATTTACTCATGTGTTTCAGTCAAGTGATTTTTAGGGAGAATTTTAAACTGCAAATGAAATTTTCTTTCAGCTTGGTTTTGTCAGGTTAAATAAGTCATTCCATTCATACTACTGAGTGGCTAAACATGCTTCTGTCAAAAACAAAAACAAACCAAAAAACATACTTTAGCCCAAATGAAGTAAAAAGAATTAATTATAGTGATTTATTGCTTGGATAACTAAGATGTCAAATGTAATAAGAGCTATATATTACAGAAAAAAATATGAAAACATGGTAAATACTTAAAATAGTAAAAAAAAAAAAAAGTATAAAATCGAATATATCTTTCTTTCCTTATAGAAAAGCAAAGTTCGGCCACTAAATCAGCATGATGCAGCTTGCTATTAGAAAGAAAAACTGCCCGCAAATATAGAACAAAAGTAAGGCCGTCATAACCCATAAGTGCTTCTCACATCACCCCCTGGGACAGAGGTCCTGCGAGAGTATGCTTCAGTATAAAGCCCAAATAAAGATTTTGGTGAAAAGGTGTTGTCAGTCATTAATATTATTCATGAAACTGATTATTATCAGTAGTCACACTAATAGTACCTGTTTCCTGAGAACTTATCACATGTAACACTATTCCAAGTGCTTTACCTGAATCCTCTAATTTCACTTTCATAACCATATGAGATAAGTTCTCTTACTTCCTCAGCTTTACAGATGGAGAAATGCAGACCTTGAGAAGTCACACATTTAGGAAGTAGCGGAGCTTGGATATGACCCTAGACTACTGGATCCCAAAGGCCATGCACTGGCCACTGCTGTACCCTGACTGGTAAAGCATGTCACATGGGCATGGTGCTTTGGAAGTTTAAAAAGCAGTATCTCAGACCGAATTTTCAGAGCATTCTCACAACATGCTTGTTGAATGGATTCTACCTTTGTTTTACAAGTGAGACGGCTGAGGTTCAGAGATGCTCAGGACTGTCCACCATCACAACTCAACAATGGCAAAGCCTAGGCTTCACCTGGCTGCACTGCAGGGTCTCCCTGTCATGCCACACTGCCACAACAACCACACAGTACTTCAAATCACCTTCTTGAAGGCCATGAAAGTCTTGACTCTCTGAGGACTGTGGTGCAATGGTAGGTCACAAGATCTCAGAGAAATTGCCACTCCATTCATGGTTAGTGTGGGTAATTCATATTCAGCTTCTCACTTTGTGATTAAATAGCTCTGTACCTCGTGCGGAGGTAACGGATGCTCTGGTCTGGGAGTATGCTGCAGAGGGCAGCCGAGTGTAGGGGTAACAGCAGAGAAGGTGGGCTCACTTTCATTCTTCCCAGCTATGTGCCCGTAAGCCTCTCTTCCACTTTTAAGACCTTTCTCCCTCCCTCCTTCCCTCTCAAACTACATGTTCTCTCAGTCTCTCTGCACATACACACATATATTTTTTATATATTCATTCCAGTGACTGGGGGAGAGCTGTTGATCATTTTCTAGGAGTTTATGGGCTCTATTTATTGCCTTTAATATAATGTTATGAAATCGATTTTAAAATCCCACCTGAAAAGGAACACAACTGATACCATCTTCTATGGGTATGGTACTTCAAAATTTTAAATGTTTACACAAATGATATTCTGTTTTATCCTTAACAATTTTATGAGAATGGTCCCTGAACAAAAGGAACTACAATCCCTTCAGTGACTGGTTTGCTTGATGTTGATCCAAAAAAAGGAAAACTAATGAGTTCTCTAAAGGAAGAATTTAAATTTCCTTTTATGTTTGATCCCTTCCCCCATACCTTATTTCCTTTACCGTATACCTTATCCAAAAAGATTTCAGTGTCACTCCGTGTTGTTTTAACTGTTCTTACTGAAATCTATCCTGTTTGCTGGTTTTATGTTGCATGTTCCATTTTTACTTAGGCTAACGTCCAATTATACTAAAAACAATACATTTCAGTCGTGAATTTATAATAAAAATATTGTTAAAAGTATTTTTTTAACTATATTTCTTTGGTAATACGAGAACAAGTACTTACAAAATCAGCAGGGAGGTGAAGCTTGTAAAGCTGTAAAATGGAGTGAAGTAAACTGGACACCTGACTAGAGACCAAGACCTCCTGGCCCAGTTTCATGCTGTCCGTCACTTTCCTCTGACTTGTGGCTACCTGGACACTCCACTTATCCGTGTCTGCGATAATACAGACAGCTTCGGCTATCGGCTCATCAAGCACTGGATGCTGGAAGAGAAACACAGTGGGTCAACTTTCCACAACACTGCCAAGGGGCACTCAAAACGTTCAGAATGCTTCCAGGTAGCATTAGCCTAAAAGTTCAGAAGTTGCTAGCGGGAGCTACAGAAATTTAGGGTATTAGAGTGACTAAAATAGTAGGAGTGTCCTCAACTCAACATTTAAACTTAATGTGATAAAAACTGCATTCAATCAATATTTCTTTCTTACACCCAGGAGTTACACCGTAAATGTTGTTAATGTTCACAGGAAAGCCAAAGGGTATGTGCCCTCTCTATATTCCAAGATATTAAAATTCCTTTCCTTTTGAAAGACTAAACTCTCCTTTTAAGATGGAGACAATTAGAATAAGGTATAGGATTCTATTGCCATTTCTCCAAAAGAAGGTTAGGCAGGGTAACTTAAATATTCCCTTAAAGTTACAGCTTTAATGATTAAGCAGTATTTATTTAGTGACCACGTGCTACATACATAAATCAACTCTCACAACCAACTATCTAGATGAGGCCAAAAGGCCAAAGGATGGCTACAGATGAATAACTTAAAATGCAAAATTCTCGGTAACTATGTAGTGATGGATAAAGGAGGCTGGCAACTAGTAAACTGTGCCACAGGGCAAACAGGGTCAAGCGGTCAAGGAAAGAAATAAAAAATCTAAGGTCTTGAAACTGGTCAAAGTGTAACTGCTTCATCACCAGCCCCTGGAATCACCAGCCCCTGGAATCAGGGCAATGTGGCTCATTGGGGGAGGTCATGGATGGAAGATTCTCCAAGCATGAGTTACTTTAGAAGGGCTGCAGATCCAGGTATGATAACAAAAAGGGACAGAGAAGTTGGCTCAATTATTCTAAAAGGAGATACTTAATGGGTATGAGAAATATATTTAAAAAAATCAAACATGAAAAATGATCATGAGCCTATTTATTTATTTATTTATTTAAGAGAAAGAGAGAGCATGTAAGCAGGGGAGAAGGGCAGAGGGAGAGAGAGAGAGGAAAAGAGAGAATCCCAAGCAGGCTCCATGCTCAGTAAGGAGCCTGACATGGGCTCAATCCCATGACCCTGGGATCATGACCTGAGCCGAAATCAAGAGTCAGACACTCAAAAGACTGAGCCACCCAGGCAGCCCAGCATGAGTCATTTTTAAATCACTGGATCAAACAGGCAGAATCGGAGGTGGAAATCAGAGGAAAGACTAAAGACAAAGTGTCCAAGGGTTGGGACAAACTGACAGGAACTGGTGGGCCCATTCCTTGAAGGAGGGGACTAAATCTTTTCTGCCTGTATTCTTAGCCCCTAGCACAGGACCTGGCATTTGAGAAATGTTACTAAATTAAAATGAGACAGGTTAGGGGCATTTGGGTGGCTCGGTTGGCTGAGCGTCTGACTTCAGCTCAGGTCATGATCTCACAGTTGGTGGATTCCAGCCCTGTGTCGGGCCCTGTGCTGACAGCTCAGGGCCTGGAGCCTGCTTCGGATTCTGTGTCTCCCTCTCTCTCTACCCCTCCCCCGCTCACATTCTGTCTCTCTCTCTCTCAAAATAAATAAACATTAAAAAAATAAATAAAATGAGACAGGTTATACAAGCAGATGAGGGAGTTGATGAGCATCCTGTACCCCCTAGCACAGCACGGTATTGCTGACTTTTATGTTTACAGGTTCCAGAACAGAGAAGAACCAGCCGAACAGTTACAGAAGAGCACCTTAAAAGAAATACTGAAGCATTACACATTCTCAGACCTACTAAATGTCTAACACAGAGCTCCCTGAATATATCCACCAGACAACCCAATGTCTCCATCTAACTATATCATTTAGTAGCTACTCAATTATTTACTGAATAAACACTTTTTAAAGTAAATGGAAATAGAGGAAAATGTAAATAGTCAAGAAAAAAAAAAAAAAGAAATGCTGAAATGATAAAAATATCACGAGCAACTACTTTAGCTACAATATAAGGAGCTCCAGGGCTACTGGCTCTCAATCACTGACCTTGTCTACACTTCTGTGGGGTCAGAGAGTTGAAGCTTAAGTTTCGATAATTCTGGAGGTTTCTGATACACATCTTTCCAAAGAAAACACAACCTCACTAAAGACAAGGCAGTTTAAACATATTACAATTTGGCTTATTAGTCAATCTCTAAGCTTTTAGAATTTAAAGAACTCTAAGATCCAGAAGACCATGTTTGGATTCATCACAGAAATACACACCCACACACACCCTATGCACTGGTATTCAATTTAAAATTCCTCTTACAACAGGCTCTACTTTAAAGGCATATGTAGAAGTACAATAAACAAACAAAAAATTACATGTATCCTTCTTTTCAACACTAATTTCTTAGCCATATCTTAATCATAGAAGTAATTAATAATGAAATCTGTCAGGGAGTTTTTTTTTTAATGTTTATTTATTTCTTGAGAAAGAATGAGAGGCAGAGCGCGAGCTGGGGAGGGGCAGAGAGAGAAGGAGACACAGAATCCGAAGCAGGCTCCAGGCTCTGAGCTTTCAGCACAGAGCCCTACGCTTGAACTCATGGATCACGAGATCATGACCTGAGCCGAAGCCAGATGTTTAACCGACTGGGCCACCCAGGCACCCCCAAACACTTTTTAAAAATGTTTTATTTATTTTTTGAGAGAAGGAAGGGGGAGAGAGAGTGAGAGCACAAGCGGGGGAGGGGCAGAGACAGAGAGTGGGGGACAGAGAATCTGAAGCAGGCTCTGAACTGTCAGGCTGACAGCAGTGAGCCTGATGTGGGGCTCAAACTCACGAACCCTGAGATCATGACCTGAGCCAAAGTCGGACGCTCAACTGACTGATCCATCCAGGCACCTCTGAAAGATTCAAACACTTATTAAAAGCCTGACCCACCCATATACTATTCTTAGGGTTTGGAGTTTGGGCATGGAGACTAGAAAAAAAAGAAATGGGCAGGAGAGGTAAGGCATGGCTGCATCCTGATGGAGACTTTGGCTTCGTATGGATCTTAAGAGAAGGAACACATAATATGAATAGCTATCAGCAAGTATGATTACTTAGTAAGATTCCTCTTCTTAGTATTAAAAAACCCTTTAAGGGGTGGGGGGCACTTTGTCAATTTGACTAAATATCATCAGAACACCTATCATACATTTACCCTTTTAAAAGTTCTCCTCCCAACCACTGTGTCTGAGATTAAACGAGGCCTCTGATGTTTGAGTTTTGAATGAAAATCTGAAGCAAATATTAATATTAAAAACAGTCATTTCCCCTTAAAATGTTTGTTTGGTTGAAAACTTCATAAACCTTAGAGACACTGTTAGTATCAATTTTCTTTTTCTCTCTCGAACTGAAGAAAAGCAAATTCAAAGTAAGTTTCTAAACCACAGGGTTCGTTAAATTCTCTTATCAGGATAAGCCTGCAATGTTTCTATATTCTCCATAATCTGAGATGTCCAAAACCGCTGCCTTAGGCCTGCCCCCCCCCCCCCCCCCCCCCCCCCCCCCCCCCCCCCCCCGCCCATGAGTGCTCACACTCCAGATGGCACTGCAGAGCAGCCGGCCCTCTGATCCCTAATGCCCTCCCGCCACGTCTTCCAGGCAGCTGCCCACCGTTCCTGTGCCTCCCTCGGAAACGTGACCAGACAATTCAGAAACTACAGACAGGGACTGGAGGATGTGAGAGCATTGCAGATCAGTAGAGCTGCAGGCGACTGTGAGGCTGGATGGCCAATCTCCGTCGCAGGAATGAGGCAGTGGCAATAAGCCATTGCCTTTTGTGCCTTGCTCTGCTCTGTGAGTTAGAAACAGTCTTTAGGGGCGCCTGGGTGGCTCAGTCGGTTAAGCGGCCGACTTCGGCTCAGGTCATGATTTCGCAGTCTGTGAGTTCGAGCCCCGCGTCGGGCTCTGTGCTGACAGCTCAGAGCCTGGAGCCTGTTTCAGATTCTGTGTTTCCCTCTCTCTGACCCTCCCCCGTTCATGCTCTGTCTCTCTCTGTCTCAAAAATAAATAAACGTTAAAAAAAAATTTTTTTTTTTAAAGAAACAGTCTTTATTTAGCTCCACGTTGTCAATATCTCATTTATCCAATCTACTCTCCTGTGAAGATTTCTCAAGATACAGTGACAAATGAAATGCTTTATATTATATAGATCTTTAAAGGTTTCTCAAATATTCTTTGGCTATTACATTTTGTTGAATCAACAGGTTAAGCCTGGTTAATTCACAGCCACTAAGGATGTGTGGGTCTGTTTCCTAGGAGTGTAGATGGCTGCGACATACCAACTTTAGCATTCTGGAGTCGATCTCTGAGTACGCAAATATGCTGCCTTGACCTACAAATGCGTGACTTCTGCCTAACTTAAACTTGCAGAAACAAGAAATGTCTGTAAGGTTTGAGTCATCAGAAGAGCCATGGTTCTGATATTTCAGTGAAGGGCAATGATAAGACAACTGCAAAGGCTCTGAAGGAAGACAGGGCTGGGCTTGACCACCGCCTCTGTCACACACTAGCTGCAGGACCCTAGCAGCTCATTAACCGGGGCTTCAGTTTCTACATCTGTTGTAAAAGATGACCTACTTCACAGTTTCTGTGAGGTTAAATTCATGGAGGTTTTCTTGAGAAAAACGTGTATGACACTTGTAGCACAGATACTAATTCAGCATGTTCGATTTGCTCTCTTACCCCACCCCCTGTCTCTATTAGTCATGGCCACTGAACCCTCAAACTTCCTAAAACACCACGTTATCATTTCCCTCACCAACTCAGAAACGTACTCTAGTCCCTATCACCCAAATACCTAAGTTCAAACTTTTCTTTTTCCATACTTAAAGCTCTTCACAATCTGGGCCAGATCTACCCACAAATATTTACTTCCAGGACTTTCTAAGGATCCCCTGCTCCAGGCTGAGAGGACTCCTGCCTCTTACCTCAAGCTGTGCCCAGAATGTTTCCCCTGCTACCTTCTAAATGTTTCAACCTTTCAAGGACCCAACTTGGGTCCCAT